ACCATACTAAGGAAGGCTTTGTTGGTTAGTTATGAAAGCTATGCTAAACAATAACGAGGTGAGACAATTTTAAATTCATACGTTTTCATTTGGAGCTACCAATGAGCCAAATCATAGGAATCGAAAATGAGTTACTTGTCAAACTATTTCAGGGTAGTTAGACCAAGTCTTATTATTGTACATCCAATAGCAATTGAACTTACGAATTCGCTAATTATGAGTTAGGCGCTTTAACCACTCAGCCATGGATGTTAGCGGAAATCCTCGTACATGATGAATAATCAAATTTCAATTGAAATGAAATCTTTAGAGTAAATCAATGCAATTTAAGAGAAATCGTTTATGTATGTATATATATATATATATATATACACATATTTATATAAAATACAATACAATTCAAATCTCAAAATATAAATAAAATAATTTTTACTTTTTGCGGTTGAGATCTCTTTAAATTTTATTTTTAAGTTAATCTGACGGTCAATATTAACACCCTAAATTTAATAGGGTCCTAAGAGTGTGTGTTTGGGGTGACTTTTTAAAAGTGTTTTTCGAACTTATGACTTCTCATAAGTAATTTAAAAAAAAAATAGTGTGTGGAACTATCCCACCACCACAACTACCCCCTCCCCCTACCACCATCCTCACCGCTCCACCACCATTACAACTACCGCCGCCACCCACCATTACCTCTGCCACAACAACCACCACCACCATTTCTTATGACCCCACCACCAACACCCCCTATCACCCCACAACCACCACCATTACTACCATCATCACCACCACCACCATCATTGCCACTACCTTACCACCACTGCTACTGTTCCACCATCACCTCTACCACTACCAACCCCATGACCATCACCACTACCACCATCACCACCACCGTCGTCGCAGTCATCCCACCATCGACATTGCCTCACCACCACCACAATTATCGCCACCCATTATCGATTGCTATCATCGTCGTCTACCAATATTATTCACCATCATCGTCATCTCATTTCTATATTTATTATCATTACCACCATCGCCCTCTCACTACCTGCCACCACCATTGTTGTCCACCATCACCCACTACCACATCTCATCACCACTCGTTGTCGCCAGCCACCCTCGCTCACCCCCACCACCACCTGTCATTGGCCACCACTATCGTCATCCACTGTTACAACTACCACCACCACTACCACCGCCATTCACCACTACCCATCACATTGTCACCCAGAAGTACCTGTTGTCGTTCATCACCACCACCATCACCGCCCACCACATAACCCACCACCACCGTCACCGCACACCACATAACCCACTACCACCGTCATTTCCCCACCATCACCATTGCCAACCACCATCACCGTCGCCCATCACCACTACCGTCACCCATGGCTATCACTACCATCATCATTAGTCAAAACTCACCACCACAATCACTGTTGCCATCCACGACTGCCACCACCATTATGGTCGTCGTCACCCCCCCACAACCATTATCGTTTTTCATCACCATCACTGTCACCCACCACCATTACCACTGCTCATTCTCACTACAACCAGTGCTTAAATTTATTTATCTCTTCTTTATGTTTGTGATTTGATTTTAAGTGTAAATACAAATATTTTTATAGTTGACAATTTTTTTTTTACTTTGTGTCTTCAAACACGGATAATAACTGTAACGCACCAAAACCTACCTTGGACGGCATTACAATTCATACCATGAGAGCAACTAAATAAATTCATCATTAATGAAATTTTATTTGTCAACTATAAAATTTACAATATTATCCCAAGATAATAGACCAACCATGGTTATTACATCCTAAAAGAATCACATTTAAACTTGCAGTGGAATAACAAAAGATTAGTCTTTACATAATCTCAAAAGAAATTTCTTAGTCTAGCACCTAGGAGAGTATAACTTTAGACATCCATCTCAGGATCCACGAGCCCATCTAGTGGAGCTTCCCAATGTGTCGGCTCCTCAACCCCAAGTTCTTCCTCTAGCCCACAATCTAAAAGATATAGTTTGTAGGCGGTGAGCACAAAGCTCTGTAGCAACATTCCTCTCAAACTCGAACAAGGTTTAGAAAAATATATAAAATAAGTCGGTCTCATTTCGCAAATATCATATATTAATTTTTGAAGTAAAACATAGACATTTAAACATATCTCAAGTTTAAGCAACAGTAGTAATTTAATGCATAAGTGAAACCAATGTACGACTAATAATCCATTCCACCATAAACCGTTTCTCCCAAGTTCTAATGGAATCTCATACTTTTCAAAATTCTTGTAGAAATTATTTCTGGTACAATGAACAATAACCCACCACTATATTCGTATCCCTGGTCTAAAGTAAGATATCGTATGAATACCATCGAAAATATCCTCGCCCATGTACAATCCACACAAATCCTCACAAGGATATCCAATCTTTAGGAATGGCGTATGTCAAAACCATGACAGTGACGTATCCAACCCAAGAGTAGTATACTAACCTTTTTTCCACGATACCCCGTGAGCGATAATGGTTTAGTCCTCCCAAGGCACTAACCCACTACGAGTGGTAAGAAAAGTTCAAACTCGCACGGAGTAAGAAGACGTCTACACACTCCACGATACCCGGTCAATAGTAGTCCATGTTTATCCAATAACTACACAAGAGATACAATATCAACAATTTCCTCAAATAACAAACAATCCATAAATCCCCAAATTTCACATGTAGTATTTCAATAAAACAATTGAAGAAAATGCAAGAGATCATTCTTAATATCATTTTGATACTCCACACAAAATACTAAAGTTTTCAAAAATAAATTTAAGTGAATGTAGAAGGAGGAACCCATATTTTCAAAAAACTAGGGTTTTAAATCAAGAAAAAGAGATTTCATGGGTATTCAACCCTAACTTTGTTTAAAATATAATAATAATTTCAAGAAAATCAAGGAATGATGATTTCATAACATATATATAAGATTTAGAGTCAAAGAATACATATATACAAGCCCTAGTCTCAATGAACAAAAATAGAAGAAAATCCCTACCTTGATGTTCTTGAAAATCTAGGGTTTTGATCTTCTTGAAGTGGAAATTTCCTTTGATCTTATATTTTTCTCTTCCTTTATTCTTCTCTAAGGTTTCTTAGGGTTACAGATGTTGAAATAGGGCTATAGGGGTTGTCCTTAAGTATTTATAGTGAAAGGAAAGTCAATTGTTCGCGACTTAAAAATTCAGATTTTTAGAAGACCTTTCGGAAGGTTTTCGTCGACCTTCCGAAAGGTTGGCCTACTGGACCAACATTTACATTAACCTTCTGGAAGGTTTTTCATCGATCTTTCGGAAGATTTGTCTTACTGGACAAACATTTTCATCAACCTTCCTAAAGGTTTGCCTATTAGACATAACTTTTCATTAACCTTCCGGAAGATTTGTCATCGACCTTCCAGAAGGTTTTGTCTACTGGACAACCATTTTCATTATACTTCCGGAAGGTTTATCCTACTGGATAAGCCTTTACCTTAACCTTCCGGAATGTTTTTCAGCGACCTTCCGGAAGGTTTTGCTTATTTTTTCGCAAATCCTTTCTTCTTCATTTTCAATCCATTTCAAACCTTTCCAATTCTAACCCAAACTTATACAACATACTTTTGTACATCAAACCAAGTTGGTACAAGCTCTATTATGATGATTTCATATATTTACAAGCTATACTAGGTTTTAACTACTATTTACTCAGATTTTATCATATTAACATTTCAAAAGAAAATAATTTCTTGCTATATATGCCTATACACATATATATGGATAAAAGTGTGGGGTTTACAATAATTAATATACATGTATGTATGTATGTATGTATGTATATATACACACATATATACATAAATATTACATATAAAACCTTAAAAAATACTTGAAAAAAATATGATCTTATCTAATATGGCCAATATGTTGGCATGATTCTTGTATGTGGTTGGCATTTATCCAAAACTGGTCAAATTTGGACAACCATTCTAATCATAAGGAAGGTGACACAATTGAAACAAGATTCAAAGCTTACATTGCCTATCAGCTTCAACTTTGATCCCCATTTCATGCTCTCATAGAGCCAATTCCAATATGTGATTTTTCAGGTCTCAAAATACATTTTAACTTGTGGCTTCAGTTTGTCAATTGATTGGACTTTGATCTAAATTCAATCTGAATATGAGTCTCATTAGTTATATAGATATTGATACTTCTGACCAATTATCAAAATTCGTGTCCAAATCCTTACATAATGTTTCATGGATGCATGTTTGGATATGTGAATATGTGATATGCTTATAATTCGCTCCAAACACAACACCTATACAATATGATGAAGTAAGTGATTATTGGATTAAAAATGAATCAAAGTAAGATGTGATCTACTAAATTTTAGGTTTAATTACACAATTCGGATTAGACGAATTTTTTAATACAATTCGATTTTAATGAATTTGCTTCTGTATTATGAAATAAAATTCATCAGATAATCAAGTCAAACTCGAACCAAATTTTTTCTAATTAGATTCAATAAAATTTGATCTAAATTAGATCTATTGACAGCTTGAAAACATAAATATAGTTGACAAGCTTGGCGACCTTTTCAATATAGGAAGACAATGTAGGCTAGTCTGTAGTAACTAATGATGCAAAAAATGTGTTTATGCACCACCTGTAAAATATTTAATACAATAATTAAGAAAAAGACTCAACACAAGCAAACACAAATATTAAGTGGTTCAGTCTGGGTGACTTATTCTACTAGGAATGGCTATGGTGGTCGGAGAATCTTATTATTCAAGAGGTGTAAAGTGTTGAGATGTGTTTGATGCCCCCATCTGTAGTCGGGGCGCACAATTTATAGGCAAGTGATGTTGGCCCCAAGGGGCTCTTATTGAGGCGCCATCCTCGTAACTAATTCCGTGAAACTCGTCTTATCCTCGTAACATGACAAGTGATAGCGGGATGATTTCTTGAAGCTCGCTTATCTCGTAACGAGCGATGTGATAGCGAATAGGATGAGGCGCGATTTCTTTGGGGGCACCGGTAGGAAGTGCGCGAATGCTAGGAGCAAGGTGCGTGAGAGTGGTCTTGGTTTGGGTGGAGAATTCGGCAATAATGGAGGACCCATCATTTTTCGAGACTTTGTGGTAACAAAATGCAATCATCTTATTGGAATATTTTTTGACAAGGTAGAGAATAAGGTGGGGAACAATGGGCTGCCATTTGAAAGATTTGCTGAATAATGTAAAGAATTTTACAAGATTATATGAAAAAGATTTGTTGAAGGGTGATGGAAGAAACCTTGTTACTCAACGTCCACATTGACGGAAGCAGTAGTGGACCATCAATTCTAATGCTAAAATTTCTAGGATTGTCTCTACTTTTTGTATTTCCCTCCACGTGAGAACTCAGCTTATCTAGCTTTGGCGACATCCCTAGTGTTCATGTACTCCTGGGTTTTTGATAGTAAGCATCTTCTTTGGCAGGCACTTCAAAATTGAAAACATAAGATTGAATGAGCGCACTATGGCGACTTTGTCATGTAGTTCTTCAATCTGGAGGACTTTCTTGTTAAAGTGAGTGAGATAACTCATTAGGCTTTCATCTCGGTCCTACTTGATGTTGAATAGGTGAGTGGTAGGCTTCTAGTGTTGGACTCCCCTAATGAAGTGTGAGACGAATGACTTGCTTAGTTCAACAAAAGAGTTAATGGAAATGGGAGTAAGCTTGGCAAACTACTGGCGAGTAGATCCCTTGAGGGTGGTAGGGAAAGTCTTCCATATAATCTTGTCTGGTATGTTGTACAGCTACATCAGGAATTTGTAGGTGTCAAGGTGGTCTAGTGGGTCTTTGGAGCCATCAAAAGCTTCTACGGTGAGCATCTTGAACCTTGGAGTAAGAGGGTAATTGGTCACATCAACTACAAAGGGTGTGTTAGTACGCCTTACAAGGTACTCGATCGTCTTAGGCTCTTGCGCCTTCATGATGTTGAAGACGTCGTCGAGTTGGTTCTGCACTTCTTTGATTGTTTTCGTTTTAGTGGTTGGGGACGCCTGCTAAATGGTCATTGTAGTGGTTCTCATAATCCACATATTGGCTTCCCCCCTCGTCTTCTTGGAAAGGAGAGTCACCTAAGTGGGAGGATGGAGCTGGTATGTGAGGAGGGAGAACCAGTGTGTCTTGGCACTGAGGAGGGGTGCCTGGAGTGCTTCCCCTACTGGGTGATAGGGCATGACTCCTTGAGGGTTGCTGACGAGCAAGTACTAGAGGACTCCTCCTAGCATTGTTGATCATCATCTGTTTGTTGATTCATGGATCTAATCATAATAGCCATAAACACACAAAAATAGTTGGGTGAAAACTAAGTCGTTCACATAAACAGCGCCAAACTGATGATACAGGAAATGTGTTTATACACCATCCGTTAAGTATTTAATGCAATAATTAGGAAGGAGACTCAACACAAGCAAATACAATAATTAGGTGGTTTGGTCTCGGTTATCAACTCCACTGGAATGACTATGGTGGCCAGAAAATCTTATTACTTAAGAGATGTAGTGTACTGAGATGTGTGACGCCTCATATGTGTAGATGCGATTTACAATTAATAAGCAAGTGATGTTGGCTCCAAATGGATCTAATTGAGGTGTCATCATCGTAACTAATTCTATAAAGCTCGCCCTATCCTCGTAAACGACGAGGTGAAAACGAGGTGATTTCTTAAAATTCGTCTTATCTCGTAACAGGTGAGGTGATCTCATGAGACTAGCGATGTGCCCCCGATGACAATGTCCCCACGGATTTTCTCTCGTCTAATAGAGATTCCCACGTGCACTAATGATGGTCTAGGTCTCTTAGGAAGGTGGGTTTGGCCCAACTGAAATTGTGATTAAGCTTTTATTGATCTGCATCTGTTATTTTGAGTTTAATCTAGACCCAATCGGTCAGTTACAAGCATGACTTTGGAAGAGTGTGCCATGATCACATAAAATTAATCCAACTTCATCAAATGGTTAGGATTCGCCAATCTCACTTTGGTGTTTTGGGCACGGCCTAAACACGGTTAAAATGTATTAAATCCGATAATTTAATTCTCATCGTGTGATTGTGATTGATCGATCTTCACCATATGAAGGTCGTCAAGGATGGAGTCAAAAAATCTTCCTAGAATGGGCATTTAATTTTTTTTTTCTAATCGATATAATTAAGATGATAAACTTATTGTTTATATCATAGTTGATACTTAAAAAATTCACTAAACATAAAAAGAACGAAAATCTTTATACATAGTTTTTGCAAGAAAAAAGCAGTAATAAAAAAAAGACTGTTTATAATTATTCATTAAAAACTAAAGCTAACTACAATCACATTTGACTTCGACCTTTTTAACATTTTTAGAAAGTGTTACATGTTAACTTAATTATCAATATCATTAAAAAATATCTTTATTTTACACTAATTAAAATTATTAATTACCTATTTATCCCTCATTAGGTTATGCAACTGAGTTTTCACATTTGTTATATCTCAAAATGCTCTCTCTACTATGACAAATGTAACTGATAAAATTAATGGCAAAGTCACAAGTAAATTGTTCAATTGATATATTAGGTCTTTTGTAGTTTTAACCATTTCTTTGAGCAAGACCACCGTTCTTTTCTAGATTTAAAAACTTAATATTAGAACAAACTTCATTTATATAATTGTCAAATTTGTGAAAAAGTACCAAGAAAACAGCATAGTATTGTAGTGTTGTAGTTGATTATTTGAGCTTCAAATAAAAGTTAGTCACATCTCCCAAAACAATAGAAGAGTTGCCGATGGGTCAAAAAATATCGAGAGTCATACCATCACTAATCACTTTTTCTCCCTTCTGTCTTGATCGCTTATGTTAGTCTAATTAGAATAATCTTATCAATTAAACATAATTATATTTAATTTTTTTAAATCCAAATTATTTTGTAATTTTAAGTTGTGACTCTTAATTCCATTATAGACCTATAAAATGACCCTATAATTTATTTCAGAAATGAACCTAATTTTTATAAAATATCAAAATAACTTCATAATTTATACTTAAAATTATAAAGTAACCTCAATATGTCCAAAATTTATTGAATATGTCCATTACTAACTAAAGTATGTCTGAAAGTTTATAGTTATTTAGATATTTATACCAATTAATATGACAAAAAAATATAGGGTAGTGGACAAATTTAAATATAATAAAACAAAATTTTAAATTTTTATGTAGGTAATTTTTAGAAAAAAAATTGGCCTGCTCCGCCCATGTGAAGTTCTACCAAACTTGGGTGGGTGAAATTTGATGAAAGATCGGTGAACTTTGACCAAACTTTGAAGGGTGAAATTTGACCAAACTTCAAAACATCTGGACTTTAGCGCAATGAAAATAAACTATTCTAATCATACTGTTAAGATATTACTATCATATTGCTATAATTGGACATGCATAGTAAAATTTTGACAATTTTTTGAGATCAAATTATGAGAGATTTATCTCTCATGAATATTTTTGTCTCGGTGTGGATGATCTGTTTTTAATCAGACCAAAAAAAGAATTATTCAAAATACACATAAACTGGATTGTCTATAATCTTATTTATTGACTTAGATAACTAGATCGAACTTTTGTTGATCACTTGTTTCTAGTGTGACAGAGAATGCAAACAAACAGACTCATTTTTGGATCACTTTTTTGGGGGTGAATTTGATATTCTTTTCATACATTTTTTAGGGCTTTCGGGTATGCTACGTCGCATTCAAGACTATCCAAATGCGTATGCTGTATGTAATGTTCTTAGACAGCACCCTCACCATTTAAAAAAAAAAAACAAAGAAAGAAAACTTGAAATGACTTCATAGTTCAGAATTAAGAGAGAAAAATGGAAGACCATCCTCCCGTTCAATAGCAATCAAATGGGAGGACAAACAAGCCCCACAGACCTTCCAACTTGAAGCTTCTGTAAGTGAGCGGTGTTTCCCACGCTCCTGACACAACTTATCACTAGTAAAAAGAGATGGAGGACAGAAAATAGTTGTCATACATGAATAAAGTGAACCTAGTGGGAAGGAATTCAATTATAAGATGAAAACAAGCAAGCATTGTAGGAAATGAGCATTAAAAGTCACCATCAAAGCAAGGCACAGAAACAAACACTGCCATAGCATGTATGTGTCAAATTAGGTGTCTCAATAAATTGGATTCAGATTTAAATTTAAAATTGTTAACTGGAATTAATATTTTTTATTGATAATTTAAATTCAATATTTTATATTTTACAAATTTAAATTTATATATACTGATGATGTACAAAATAATTTTACACACCACTTGTCAAGTGCAAATAATAAACACAAGAAAATAATATCAGGAGATAGAGAGACAGACAATTTATGGTGGTTTAGTCAGCTCGACTTACGTCCACTCTTCAATAGCTCTAGTTGTCGGTTATTTTATTAACTCAAGGGTGTGGGGAGCAGAGAGTATAAACTTTGAGGGAGAGGAGAGAGTCGTGGTCAAGTAAAGTATGATCTGCCCCCCAAGTGTTGGTGGGACTTACAATTTATAGTCGCCTTCCTAACAGATTTGGGCAAGATATTAGTAAGTAGTTGGCTAGTTTGTTGGATCTGGCGAGCTCTTCTCAACGTGTTAGGCAGTTGCGGTGTTCTCCATGAGATTCGGTCAAAGGATGAGGTGGGGTGTTCACCATCTCCAGGGCAATGAGGATAAGACTTTGGATGACCTTGCTTACTCCCTTATATCTCTTTGGGCTGTTGAGCTTGACCGGACTGACCACACTGATGAGCTTGAACGGGTTGAGTTGATGAGCTTGACCGAGTTGGCCACACTGGGCTGGATTTGCTAGATCTCTTGGAGTCAGACTATAAACTTGAACTGGGCTTATAACATGAGTTGGGTCTTTGGGCTTGACCCATCATTTGCCCCCCAATGCCCTGTGTCCAATGGAACATGGAAATGAGGGCATTCGATTAAGTTTGAATTTTTGGCTGACCGGCACAATTGAAAAAGCTTCAAGAGGCCAAAACATCTGCTTTCAAGTCTTTTTTTGGACTTTTTATAGAATTAGTCATAGCCAAAGGGTGTGAGTCTTGTTGGGCTCGCCGAGAGCTTTGATTTGATATATTATAAGCCTCATTTAGAATAACAGAGCAGAAGTTACGGTCAAAACTTCGAGCAGAGAGCTAGACGAACAGGCAACTT